TCTGAAGAAGGAGCAATAAAACACGAATTCAATTTTGCGTCGAATATAGCAGATTTTTTTACGCTGATGACATAACTGAAGTTAACGATGATTTATTAGAAAATTCAGTTACATCAGCTCTCATTCGAAAGACATGCATGACTGTAATATTGTGCTCTGTTTTGGCATTGATGTAATTATATAATAAGTGTAAAAACAAAGAAAATTGGTTGGAATAAATCGATGTGTTCGTGACATTTTTTCTTTATGCTTTCCTTACTTAATTTAGCTAAACAAATCCGGCTTAAAGCTCCGACCATTTGATTTTCAGGAATAATCTTAAATTGTACAAGAATTTGTCAATATTTGTCTGGTATATGATTGAAAAAGACATCTTGTCTATCCATCAAAAAAATTTAAAGTAACCAAACTATTATTTTTGTATATAAAAGATACATGTTTACAAGGTATTCAAGGTCATGCGTTTCTCAGACTGTCTTTACACTAAATCCGTTGGTTGTATACTGATTGATACTTTAGTCTGGGAGAACATGATTTTTTTATTAGTTGTAATTGGCTTTGAACTAGCTTTCAGTAACTGCGAGTACTCTTATTTCGGTGGTTTGTGTCTATTGTTTTTATGTTACATGTAGTTGTTTTTGTGCCTCGTACCGATCTTTTGAGTTAAGCCAATTGCAACTGATTTTTACAGTTTGTTCTTATGTTGTGTTGTTACACCACTGTCCCAGGTTAGGCGGATGGTTGAGCGCTCACAAACATGTTTAAACCTGCAACATTCTTTATGTGACTGTCCCAAGTCAGGGGCCTGCAGTTCAGTAGTTGTCATTGGTTCATGTCTGTCATATTTATTTTTCGTAATTTTTTTTTTTATAAATTAGGCCGTTAGTTTTCACGTTTGAATGACTCACATTTTTCATGTCGGGGCGTTTATAGCCGACTATACGGTATGGGTTTTTTCTCATTGTTGATTTAATCAAGCCTATAATTGCTTACATCCACTTCATTTGAACTCTGATGGATAGTTGTCTCATTGGCAATCATACCACATCTCCTTATTTTTATATTATATATCCGACTTTTAAACTCGTGTCGTCCTGAAAATGCATGAAATATTTGCCACTGGACGTTAAAAAATAAGCAAACAACAATCAATCAATTTAAACTCTTGTAAAATAAGGGGACAACCATTTGATATTTATTTTTTGAGGTGGTGGTGATGGTGGAAAGGGGGGGTGTTGTTGTTATAGGAGGATTTTGAGTGTGAATAATTATGTTGGCCTGGTAAGAACTGGAAAAAATAAGCATGCATATAGCGACAGATTAAAATGAATAATAAATCCGAAAAAAAAAATCTTCCTGTCCCACTCCACCTCCCCAGAATATCAAATGGTCGTCCCCTTACTATTATTGTCTTGCTAGTTCTATAGTATAAAACCAATTTCTTTTTTTTTTTTGCCATTTTTATACGACCGCAAAATTTTTTGCGGTCGTATATTGGTATGACGTAGGCGTCGTCGTCGTCGTCGTCCGAAGACACATTGGTTTTCGCACTCTAACTTTAGTTTAAGTGAATGGATCTCCATGAAATTTTACCATAAGGTTCAATACCACAATGACAATAACTTGTGTGTAAATGTATGGATCTCTCTGACATTGTACCACAAGGTTCCATATATCAAAGGGAATTCTGGGATTGATTTTGGGGGTAATTGCCCAAAACGTTAAGGAATAAGGGGCCAAAAAGGGGCCAAAAATAAGCATTTTTCTAGTTTCATGACAATAACTTGTGTTTAAGTGTATGGATCTTTATGAAATTGTACTACAAGGTTTCATATCACAAAGGGAAAGCTGGAATTGAGTTTGGGGGTAATTGCCCAAAACGTTAAGGAATAAGGGGCCAAAAATAAGCATTTTTCTAGTTTCATGACAATAACTTGTGTTCAAGTGTATGGATCTCTCTGAAATTGTACTGCAAGGTACCATACCACAAAGGGAAGGCTGGGATTGAGTTTAGGGGTGATGAATCATAAGGGGGTTCAAAAAATTTGGGGGGGATTGTTTTTTCCTTTTTTTTCTTTAAAATTTTCCATTTTAAATTGGTTATTTCTGATTTATATATAAAAGCAAATAATAATGATATGGTTTGAATAGTTAAATTAAATTTTTTTAAGTTCTTAGACCACATTCATTCTGTGTCAGAAACCTATGCTGTGTCAAATTTTTAATTACAATCCAAATTCAGTGCTGTATCAAGCTTGAATGTTGTGTCTATACTTGCCCCAACTGTTCAGGGTTCGACATCTGCGGTCGTATCAAGCCGCGCCCCAGCGGAGCATTTTATTCATCAGATATTTTCATAGGAATATCCGATGAAAAATGTGAAAAATAGACAAGAAATTTGTGATTATATATTTTATAGAACTAGCCTGTTAAAGTAAACAGATCGATTACCAGATGAGGGTTTGGATGGGGTCTACAGCTAAAATAGAGAATAATGGGCAACAAGTGCAGAATAAAGGGCAAAAAATATAAAGAATAGAGAAAAATCGGCTAAAAAATAAAGAATAGAGAATAATGGGGTGCTAAAATATAAAGAATAGAGAATAATGGACAAAATTTGTAAAGAATAGAGAAAAATAGCTTATAAAATTAAAGAATACAGAATTGAAGGACCCCCATCCAGACCCTCCCAGATTAATACTATTAGGATCAGCTATAGGGTTAAAGGGAAAAAAAGTTCTTATAATCTATACAGTAAGGTCGCCGGCTATATTAACTTTTAGTAGGGTAGAAATCTAAGATAAGGATTGACGACTAACGTCCAGCAACAAATATTACACGCATACTCAGGACGATAATATTTTATATTCCATAGCTAAATTCCAAATAAACTTTAAGCACACCATCTTTTGAGTCATCTGGAAACTTTTCCAAAAGATTAAGATAAGTAACCATACTCATGCACATTATCATACCTCCACCTCTACTTAATTAAATAATATACAAATAAACAGATGTAGTATGATTGCCAATGACACAACTATCCACTAGAAACTTATTGAGGTTGAGTAAAATATGTCACCGTAAGACTTTCAACAGTGCGCAAAAGCCATATCGTTTCGTAATTTTTAAAAGATCCCGACAAAAAATTCTTTTCATCGGTACAAATGTTATCATCGAGGACTTAATCTTGAAGGTTTAAAAAAAAAACAAATTTGAAAATGTTCATGCCTACAACGTTAATAGAATAAATTCATAACTGAGTGGTCACTTTTTTTTGAATAATTGAAAGATTGATTAGTTGATTAGAAGTAGTTTTTATCGTGTCATCCCAAACGAGTCAGAAAAACGAGCACATACACCAGTGTGCAAGTTTTCTCGTTTGGATTTTTTAACATTTAGTCATGTCGGTGCCTTTTAAAGCTGACTATACGGTATTGCTTTTGTTCATTATTGAAGGTCGTACGGTGACCAATATTTGCTTTGATCCACGTCAAAAAGTCTCTGGTGGATAGTTGTCTCGTTTGCAATCATACCACATCTCTTTATATTTTATATTAACTAATTAGGGTGGGAGATATAATGATGTGCCAGAGTAACCCCGACTTAAAGTATCAACTTGCGGAGTATAGTTCCAATTCTTTATGGTCCTTGTAGGTTTATAATAACGGTTTTTCGATATTTAATTTAGATACGGTAATAGTCATTGAATTCCTTTCTGCACGGACGATTTTGGCGGTCAGTATATAAAATAAATTTAAAGCATGCTTGACCAATGCAACGTTCGTTACAAGAAAGTTAGGACATAGAAGTTAGTTTTGTACACTATTTCCCACACACCTACCCCAAATAGCCTTTATATATACTACTTCCTCAGTGTATATTGACTTGTGTATTTTGAATTCGGATGTACTTAATATATATGTCTACTTGTAGATATGTTATATATGACATAATAATAATGTTATATTTAAAAATGCAAGATTGTAGCGAACGCACAACCCTATACTGTGTTTGGTTTTTTTCTACGTTATATAGTTAATGTTCCTTCCTCGTAAAGCGGCGGAGGACAAAATTGGAATAATTCATATACTTGTCCTGAATTTTCAAAACTCTAAGAAGGCTTGTCCGTAGGATCCTCCACATATTTTATACTAAAAAGATATTTAATTTTCAGCACATTCGACCAAGAACCTTCCAGAAATGAAACCCCAAAGGAAACATCGGTAACGAAGCAATGCCAAATATGTAAAAAGATTGTAACAAAAAGATGGTTTAAAAGTCATCTTAACTTGCATATGGATAAAAAAAATGACATTAACCAGACCAGACATCATCATACTGTAATAGTTGACAAATATAACGGAGTGTTTGCCTCATCAAAGAACATTTCAGGCCCCTTCAATCCTGTCCACGTGGCCAAAATAACTAGTGGACATAATGCTGGTACATTTTGCGAGGACAAAAAATGTATAGAGGCTCAACAAATAGCAAAGCGTGGTCGCAACTACTCGTTTGAATGTCCTCATGCTAGATCAAGTCACTATGCAATTCAGCAATGTGAAGAAACTTTAAACGACGCTTCATTAGAGCAAATGGTGGAAGAAAAAATACTAACACAAGACCAAGGTCATATGGTACAACAACTACAAGAACAAGCTGTATCAGAACATTTCCCGTTCTTAGTCTTCTTAAGGAATCCTAATTCAGTTTCTAAATATTTATTTTTTTCTGTATATGCCGAAAGAAGGAGATACTGGTCAAAATTAAAGAGAACGATTGTTACATTTGATACAGTAAAAAAGACTTTATCATGTCGCTGTTCTTCAGGAAAGAGAACATGCGCTCACAAAACAGCTATCAAATGGTACTTATTTCAAGAGCACAAGGACATGTTAACATCTGAATTAACGGATCTAAGTGATGAAGAAAATGATAGTGAAAATGTAAGACTTACGCAAGAAGTAACACAAAACGAAAAAAGAAAACCAGATTACATTCAAAGGCACAAAAGGTATCCGGTGACGAAAAGCATAGACATTCCGCATCTTAATGATATAACAGAGATTATTCCATCAGAGAAAACATGCGTCCAATGCAGAGACAAGCTTACCAGAGTTGTTTTGGTGAATAGACATGGTAAAGCAGTATTGAAAAACAAAGTCATACATGGTAATTGGTTTATTTTAGTTTTTTTATGAGAAAAAAATGTTTTAGGTTAAGAACAGTGTTATTTTAAAAGCACAACATTCTTGCACTATTTCAACTAACTTCTGGATCCATTTCGTTCAGTTAAATTCCTATGTCATGCCCGTTGATAAACTATCCGTTTTTTAAGTTTTACAATTTAAGTGGATGTAATTATAAAACTTCCGAATCGGTTCAATCCAAAATTTTATTGTTATTTAAACTTCGAAGTTTGTGACATTTACATACAAATCAAACTCGGCATAAAACTTAAATAAAAGTTTACACACTACAGTTGGCTGCTGCATAGGTTTAATTAATGTATCTAGTTCATGTAGATTGAATAAACTATTACCAGTACTTGCTAACTGCCTTCAGGAAAATTCACTGGATCTATTATACATTTCAGATATTTCAGTTTACAATAAAGTGTGCTCTAAATGCGGAATGGAGTATAGGTATCAAGAATGGAGTGACGGTCTTCACAATTACGATGATTCAACATTCATTGGGTTTGATGCTTGTCATCTAATTAGAGCTGGCTTACAGGTATAGCTAAAGATCTGTTCAAACGCATAAACATTGTCAACCGGTTTTGAGAGAATACCGCGTGACATATGTTTTAGCCAATACACCTGATTGCATTTTACACACTAAAAACAAATTGTTGTAATTAACGTTTTCCACAAAACAGGAAAAAATCACCCCACATCACATATAATGCCAAACATATCATGAATCACAATAAATAGAAATCTAAATATACATTATGATTTTTTTTCTTCGAAAAAACAACATTCCTGATGACTTAATATTTTATTGAATTTGTGCACTGTGCATGCATGCAATGAAACATTAGCGGATGTTTCGTTGTGTTAAATAAAACTTTTATTCACTGTTTTGTAGCGACAAAACGCATTTTTATGAACCCTTAATAGTATATTTACCAATTCCGTAATTGCTCCTGTATTCTGAAATTTATTTGTATGATCGAATATTTTGAGAATTTTACCTTTTCAAAAATATAATTCTAAATTTTGTTTTCAAGTAAAGAACTAACTTTTATTTTAATTTTTTATTACCTCAAGTCAGCCCCTGTTAAAAGTTTAAGTTCCTAGAATGATAAGGTTAAAGCGAATGAAACATTTATCTATATTGAAATGTTTTAATTACATGCAAGTTTAAATGCAATGGCAAAATGTAAAGTGGCAAGTGTTGTAGAGCAATCTTCTATTTAAGAGTTAAAGTCTCTTCTAAATTCATCAAATGACAATAACTTGCGGTATGCGTTAAAAAATAATTATTGGAGGATACGGTCAGTCACATGAGTAATAGTATTGATGAAAGCCTGACACATATAGGACGATTATTTGTGAAGGCGTGACAAATAAATCTCATAGTATCCAATCAGCTTTCATATCATAAAGGACAGAAACTTCAAACGTTCGGTAATTATTAAATACTAGTACACATTCTGTTTCGACCTAAATATGATTCATAATTATTGTAGTTTTTTAAGCTATAATTTAGCTTTTAAAAATATACGTGATTGAATTTAAGAAAATCTAGAAATAGTTTGATAATTTAAGTAATACTAAGAATATGTTAATTATTGCACTTGATGTGCAACATAACATTGAACATGACATCAAATGCTCATTTTTCCCATTTAGGTACTGACGCTTTAACGTCAGAAAATCCGAAATTGAAATCAATTTATATCCAACACAAGTCGGCTGTGTTTTTTATCGTCATCTTTTGTTTTGATATACACTACGAGCAGTTAGCAGGGATTCCTGTTTTTATACGACCGCATTTAATTTTTTGGTCGTATATTGGTATGACGTTGGCGTCGTCGTCGTCGTCGTCCGAAGACACATTGGTTTTCGCACTCTAACTTTAGTTTAAGTGAATGGATCTCCATGAAATTTTACCATAAGGTTCAATACCACAAAAGGAAGGTTGGGATTGATTTTGGGGGTTATGGTACCAACAGTTAAGGAATTAGGGGCCAAAAAGGGGCCAAAAATAAGCATTTTTGTAACTTCCAGACATAACTTGTGTGTTAGTGTATGGATCTCTCTGACATTGTACCACAAGGTTCCATATCACGAAGGGAATGCTGGAATTGATTTTGGGGGTAATTGCCACCAAATTTTAGGAATTAGGGGCCAAAAAGGGGCAAAAAACAAGCATTTTTCTAGTTTCATGACAATAACTTGTGTGTAAATGTATGGATCTCTCTGACATTGTTGTGCAAGGTTCCATATATCAAAGGGAATTCTGGGATTGATTTTGGGGGTAATTGCCCAAAACGTAAAAGAATAAGGGGCCAAAAAGGGGCCAAAAATAGCATTTTTCTAGTTTCCAGACAATTACTTGTGTTCAAGTGTATGGATCACTCTGAAATTGTACTGCAAGGTACCACACCACAAAGGGAAGGCTGGGATTGATTTTGGGGGTAATTGCCCTAAACGTTTAGGAATTTGGGGCCAAAAAGGGGCCTAAAAACAAGCCTTTTTCTAGTTTCCACACAATAATTTGTGTTCAAGTGTATGGATCTCTCTGAAATTGTACTGCAAGGTACCATACCACAAAGGGAAGTCTGGGATTGAGTTTGGGGGTGATGAATCATAAGGGGGTTCAAAAAATTTAGGGGAGGGATTTTTTTTTCTTTAAAATTTTCCATTTTATAAATGGGTTATTTCTGATTTATATATAAAAGCAAATAATAATGATATGGTTTGAATAGGTAAATTAAAAAATTTTAAGTTCTTAGACCACATTCATTCTGTGTCAGAAACCTATGCTGTGTCAAATATTTAATCACAATCCAAATTCAGTACTGTATCAAGCTTGAATGTTGTGTCCATACTTGCCCCAACTGTTCAGGGTTCGACCTCTGCGGTCGTATCAAGCTGCGCCCAGCGGAGCATTTTATTAATCTTTATAAAAATAAGAAGATGTGGTATGATAGCCAAGGAGAAAACTTTCCACCAGGGACCAAAATGATATAAAAGTAAGCAACTATAGGTCACCATACGACCTTCGTCAATGAACAAAACCAATACCGCATAGAAAGCTATCAAATGCCCCGAAATGAATTGTAAAATAATTCAAACGAGAAAACTAACGGCCTGATTTATGTACAAAAGAATTTACGAAAAACAAATATGATATACAGCAACCAACGACAACCACTGATTTACAGGTTTCAGACTTGGGACAGGCAAATACAGAATGTGGCAGGGTTAAACATGTTTGCGGGCACCCAACCCAATTATTTATATATAAAACATCCAAAGAATTTTTTACACTCCAAAATAGTTTATTTCATTTCTTTCATATGCTTTTTCACAAATGATAATGATTTCTTTGATAGTAGTAAGGGAACTAGTTAAAAGAATTGAAAGATTGGTGGTAGAACACCTACTAGAGACCGAGATGAAACAATATTTAATGTAATTTAAGTAACCAATTTAAATAGGGACCTTCAAATGATCAGAGGAGGCCTTAAGCTGAAACGTGGTTATGATATGATTGTTTACTATTTGAATCACTGTGGAGCACATGGACCTGGATGTAGAAGAATTTATTAAGTCGACTTATTTTGCAGTTTTCTATTAAGATGATGGATCACGAAACAGAAAGTTTGATTGAAATATTTAATAAGGAAATGTTTACTCTTCTTATAGAATCATGTGGCAATTAGTAGAACGATAAACATGCTGGCAGATACACTAGACGAAAATCTGAGGCTTCATGACCTAACGAATGCTTATTTGATGTTTGAAGCACTAACTGAGCATTCATATTCTTTCTACTGCTATCTGTGTGGCTTCTATCCGACAACGATTGTGATGGACGGTATACGAAAGACTTGTTTTCGACATGCCGGTTGGTATAAGTATTAGTTATCCATATATATATATATGATATAATTGTGTTCACACAAATTTTAAAAAGTCCCCTGATTTAGTCTAGGTCGGCTTTCACGTTTTTGTGATTATCGTTTTAAAGCATGCGGTTCGAAGAATAAATCCTTCACTTTATACAATTTGTCACACTTGATCCATTCTAGACAACCTTCTAGACAACCTTTTGCCTTACAGTTACGCAAATTTGATTGACTTCCTTTATTCTGTGTCACGTATATTCTTCTAACTTTGATATAACAAACCAAAGAAGGATATAATTACAAATCACTGCATATTACTAACTTGCTATACGTCCTTAATTAATATCATTACACACAATATTTCCTAAATGAAAATAACTATAAGATCTCCAACAATGTTCTCGAGATACAACATGAATTGGAGTAAAAGCTTTATATTTATTTATTTACACCATGCAGAAGAAATAGGTAGTAAAATAATAAAACAAAAGTATGTTTTTGGTTTCCCACCTTCATATTAAAATGTTGTTTAAATTCACTTGCAATGACATTTAAGGAACAAGTGAGTTGACAGAATAGTTATACACCAATACTCCAGTCGCAGATATTTTAATCATTCCCTTGAATATGTCTTTGCTTAATTTTTGAGGCTTAGCTTCTCAGACTTGCAGTAGAAATAATTTAACGATTTGATTGCATTGTCATGTCTGGTACAGTTTCAGATATGGTTGCACCGGCAGATTTTACAGAATTACCCGAAACAGTTGATATGGATTCATTTTGGAAGAAAGTGGAACAAGAGTTGATAAGTCCTGGAGTCAGACATGGTAAACATTTTCCCTTGTTAATCGTATGTATATTGATGAGGCAACTTAGTAAACGAGTGCAAATATGTCCCAAAAAAAATCGAAATATAAAGGAATGCTGCCTCATTGCATTAAACCTGTCACTAATATGATAAAACCAAATTGTGTATTAGATTTTTGTTGATGAAACACATTATTGAAATAAATATAAAAATAAGAAGATGTGGTATGGTAGCCAATGAGACAACTCTCCACCAAAAAGCAAATGACGTAGAAGGTTAGCAACTATATATAGGTCACCGTATGGCCTTCAACGATGAGTAAAACCCATACCGCAATGCATGCTATAAAAGGCTCTGAAATGACAAATGTAAAATACTTCAAACGAGAAAACTAAAGGCCTGATTTATGAACAAAACAATAAACAAAAAAACAAATATGATATACAGCAACAAACGACAACTACTGAATTACAGGCTCCTGGCTTGTGACAGGCACATACAAAATGTGGCGGGGTTAAACATGTTTGCGGACGACCCAAACCTACACTTATTCATTTGTTGACATGTTACAGGAAACCGACTAAATGAGATAGTGCCAAACTACGAATTTTGGGCACCTTGGATTGGAAATGAATCAAGACGAAGCAACCATGTCTTCAATACAGAAAGTTTAAAATGTCCAAGAAGACTTCACATTCCAGGCGAGACTGAACCAGTTCCTGACGAAGTTTTAAAAAGTTTAAGGGATGAAAAGGTACACGTAATGTATTTTTATGCGAGTCATGTATACTTTTGTAATACACTTTACAGTATTTGTTCTGTCTTTTTCACATCCTACTAAGAGTTTTCAAATATTATCATATTTCCAGGGTAGGTTTCGGTGTATGTATTTTCCTGATACATGTAATACATTTTGCAACAACATAATTTAAAAGTAGTGTTCTGAATGTAATCAGAATCCACTTATAATATGGCAGCCAGTGAAGTGCATATTGGTTGTTGTTTTTAACTTATAATTTGTTTATGTAAGAAATGAAAGGAAACCCTTATATAACTACAATTTCAAATGATATAGTTCATAGATCAGATCAAATAAACGGTTTGAAGAAGAATCGCAACGACTAAAATTTGGGAGAAACACCCCTCCAATCTTAGGAACGATGGACAAAATATAATGGAACAAGGCAAATATAAACGCGTATTTAAAACAAATAATGAAACTAAATGTTTCCTTGAACCATACGAAACCCTTAGATCAAAAGTGTAAGCATGTCTAGCTCGACAACCCTCTATCACTACTTGGTCAATATTTTGAAAAATTCAGTTAATATGAATTATTGATCAAATATATGATAGTAATTTCTATGTAAAAGAGTCATTTTCAGCTTTAATACCGTATTGAAACGTTATATGTAAAATATATGTACGGCCAACGTCAATCATATATTCTTCTTTATTTGAAGGTTTCAAGAGTTCGACGTTTCTGCAAAGAATTGGGTATACCGGACAACGGTTCAATGATGGATCTAATCATCAGACTTCGTGAACATTCAATAAAACAGACTGATTATGACAGGGCATATGAGAAAATCTTTGGCACATCTGGTAAGTTTCATTGCGAAATCTTAGCGTTTTGAAAATGTTTATTTGGCTGAATTTTATTTAAAGATACAACAGAATAAAATTAAACGAGTAGAAAGTGATTTAATTTTAATTTTACAAGAAAAAAAATGGAACTCAGTCGGCCAATCATTCTTTCACATTGAATCAATATTCAAATGGCAGTTACAAACTTTTTTATGAGGGGGAGGAGGGTAAATAGGAATCACAGTCATTCCGTCTGGATGTCTGCCTGCCCATATGCTCTGTAAGCGCAACTTTACGACTGGGCGGACAGTGGTGACATTTTACACAGTTAGACAACATCACATGAGTTTGCATACATACGAAAGCCCGTTTATGACCACCAAAAAATATACCACGAAATTTAAAAAACTTCTGATCACGAATTGAAATCGTTATCATGAATTGTACAATTCGTTATCACGCATTAAATAAGTGATAACGAATTTGTGGAATTAGATATTACATATTGTTGTAATTTGTGATCACAGATTATATACGTTATCATATATTTTTGTAATTTGTGATAAAATATTTGTAGAACACTACGTTAAAACAAATTTTGGAATTCTTTATGACGGATTTAATCCGAAAATCTGTGATAACGGTTTTATTTCATGATCACGAATTACCAAAATCTGTGATAACTATTTCAAGGGATTCGTTAATTTCTGGAAATGCTCAATGTCATTCGTGAAATCTGTAAGGACAATATAGTCTTTAATGCCGAATGATTATTACAATGAAAGACAATAGCGGCATTGATCACATGTATATAGAATGAATTTGTAACTATAAATTAAGAGTAGAATCCTACCGTGCAACTTGTTTTAAATTGACTAAAAATTCTGCAAAAAATGTTCATATACCAATACGAAAAGAAGGGTGATAAAATTTTCTTTTTAAAGTGTCAATCTGCCTAAGAATCAGGCAGTGGTGAAAACATGACAAACAAAAAACCACGCAAGTTTACATTAATTTATGTTCAAAATGTATAATGGTGCATGAAAATAACATTCGTTTCCATTTCCTGTTCTGGTATTTCAAGATATAATTTGGTTGAAATGCACTAGAAATTAACAATTAAGGGGAGCTAATTCCGTAATTTGCTATCATTCTAACCAAAAGTTATTTAGAGATTTCTTAAATTACCAGACACAGAGAAACGAAAGACCTACCATTTCTAACTCAGGATGAGGGTAACTTCAAAACAGGATGGTTAGGTCGGTGGGTTTTTTTCGGTCATGTTTTGAAATTCTCCTAAATTGCCTGATTCTTACAAAGACTGGCACTTTAAAAAAATACATGAATAAAATTGAGAATGGAAATGGGGAATGTGTCAAAGAGACAACAACCCGACCATAGAGCAGACAACAGCCGAAGGCCACCAATGGGTTTTCAATGCAGCGAGAAACTCCCGCACCCGGAGGCGTCCTTCAGCGGGCCCCTAAACAAATATGTATACTAGTTCAGTGATAATGGACGTCATACTAAACTCCAAATTATACACAAGAAACTAAAATTTAAAATGATACAAGACTAACAAAGGCCAGAGGCTCCTGACTTGGGACAGGCGCAAAAATGCGGCGGGGTTAAACATGTTTTTTGAGATCTCAACCCTCCCCCTATACCTCTAGCCAATGTAAAGAAACAAACTTACAACAGTACGCACAGTAAAACTCAGTTTAAGAGAAGTCCGAGTCCGATGTCAGAATTGGAAACAAAAGAAAATAAACAAAATGACAATAATACATAAATAACAACAGACTACTAGCAGTTACTGACATGCCAGCTCCAGACCTCAATTAAACTGATTGAAAGATTATGTCTTCATCATATGAATATCAGGCACAATCCCTCCTGTTACGGGTTTAGTATTATACCATCATAAAATATATGAGAAGAACATAACCCGTGTCATGCCAACAACTGGTTTTAGAATAAATATGTTTAATAATGTATGCTAGTTTAATTTTGATCCTGGTATCTATGATGAGCTTATTTTGATAACTTAATTTGAAGATTTAAAGATATCAAATGGAGTTTATGTTATATTGCAAACAATGTTATTACTAATATAAAATAAGAAGATTAAGTATGAATGCCAATGAGACAACTATCTACCAGAGACCATGTGACGTAGATGTTAACAACTATATATCACCGTAGGGCCTCATCCATATTCACCAACCATATCGCAAGCTATAAAAAAACGCCCCGACATGTCGAAATGTAAAACAATTGAAACGAGTAGACCAACGGCCTGATTTATATACAAAACAACAAACGAATAACAGTAACAAACGAAAAACAGCAACAAACGAAAAACAATTATGATATACAGCAACAAACGAAAAACAATTATGATAAACAGCAACAAACGACAACATCTCAATTACAGGTTTCTGTATTGGGACAGGCACATACATATGGTGGGGTTAATCATGTTTACGGGCGCCTAACAACATCCTCCTAACCTAGGACAGTGGTGTAACAGGACAACATAAAATCAGTTGAAATGGGCTTAACGTATCAGATCGATACATAGCAAAAATAAAAAATAAATTTATTTTTTAAATTCAGGTGGATGGCTTATTGCTGCCTGTCCTCATTCTGTGGTTTATGCAGCGAAGAGTCTCCTCAGAGGTGAAAGTCCGAGAGATTTCGTCGATTTGATGAGATCTTTCAAACATCGACCGAACATTTTGATATCGGATATAGCCAACAGAGTAGCTGCCAGCGGAAATAAAATCACCCGCATGTTTTATCCATTTGAGGGACGTGTGGCAGAAAACACCAACGAAAACTTAGAAAAGGCTAAAAGTGGGCTGTTTACTTGGGAATTGGGGTGCCTTAATGAGATCGGACCAGAAACAACAGTCAACCAGTCAATAAGCAATGAAAAAAATCCAACATCCGGGTCATCGGAACACTATAGCTTATTTGACTGGTTCCACGAAGATAATACCAAGGATGTTAAGGAAATTCTGAGAAAGGTATCTTTAGTGGAAGGATTAGGGTCATTTACCAACTCCCAAGTTGTTGAACAGTTTTTCAACAGCATGAGAAGAGATCTTTATTTCCTAAACGAGATGTCTCCAGCTGTTCATGTTTTCATCTGTCGCCTCATGTTGCAATTCCACAATGAGAAATCGAACAACTTAATAAAAAAGCAACAGAGTAAGTTATTTCCAACAGAGATGTCTTTAAACCAGTTAGGTCAGTTATGTCAGCAGTTTGGAGACGACATCAATGGTATACAAACATCAATTGTTGAGAATTTGGAAATACGAGAAGATCATGGATCAGGAAACGTTGGTCAGCCATCAGATGTCACCACACAGAATACTTGCCCTACAGCTACTAGTATGACTGATAGATCACCTTGCGCAGTTCCTTTACATTTTCAGGAGCTATCGCAAATACAGAGCGCACTAAACTCGTCAGCCAGGGAGAATTATTCGATCTATTCCTCTTTAATGCTGTCTACTTTTGAGGAAAAAATAAGAGAGCTCACAAACACCTGGGACAACCTTTCTGACGAAGAAAGACAGGCTATATCACTGAACATGGACTATGTATCAAATGTTCTCTTTAAATGTCCATCGGAGAGAAGACTGTCAGAAGTGTCAAGCATTTTTGTTGCAGGATCGTATATACAGTGGCAGGGACCTACAAATTACTGTGGTTTGTGTGCAGTAAATAACATCATTGGTTCAAGCCCTGACGGAATATTTCCTGTATTAATAGCGGACATGGATTACATCGCAGATGAACTGTGGCTGAATATGGCTGGAGATCCCATAGTTCCGCTAACGTTTCCGATACCTGCACTTCGTGACAGAGAGGGATTTTATAGTGGAGAAGTCATCATCCAAACTCTCGAGAGGCGGTCATATTCGACGACAAGACTGCAACATGATGTCCTTTCTTCCACAGAAGATAATGAAATCATAAACAATCTGATGTCCTTCGAAGAAATAAAGGGATTGATAATTAGAAAGTTTAACGAAGCACATTGGATTTCAATTCCAATAATCAACGATCAATTTATCTTCATAGATCCGAAAGTGAAAGCACAACGTACACTTCCATCAAGCGATGTATGTCAATTAATAAGGAGCCATTGTTTTCACCCTGGAGCAGTTTACATTGTGCAGGTAAAATATGACCAAAAAAGTCCCGCTTATCAGATACTAGTATAGAGTATTTAGCTACTACTGATTTCATAGTCAACTAAAAAATTACCCACATATGCAAAGTCCAATCTGATTGAAACCCAGATCCTTCGTCCACGCTTCGTTTACAAGCCAATCGTGGACATAGGATATGTACTTTTATTAGATTGTGCAAAGTCTATCCATGCATATAATACTCGCCAAAACGTGTAAAATATTTAAGGAAAATGTCACAATAAGTTAAGAGACAAGCAGGCAAGCCAAAATCCAACACAATAGTGTTACTTGTTATGAAGGAGAAGAAGAAGAAAACAAATGAAAGTGTGTTCAAATACATCCGACCCTCGTTCATATCTTTTGATCCAGAATACATATATAATTTACATCACAAGTAGAAGTTGACTTCCTCGCCATCTGTTCTTAATTGCATTGGAAATAATAATTTAAGTCACCTTTTTACATATTATCATCAGCACCATTAAGGTGTATTAACGAAAAAAATTAAAAGGAACAGCAATACACGGTTTTATATAGAACAAAAGATATATTTGTTAAAGATGGTTATTGGTTTTTGACATTTGATATAAAAAAAAATTGTCCTTATAATCTTCTTTCAAAAGTACGATCATTTACAACGATTCCTAATAAAAATAAGACAAAAACGGATTTAGTTTTTCAAAAGTCTCTTGTTGCGTTTAGGGTATAGAGTAAAGTACACTATGATATGTTGAATTAAATTGTGAAAGACATGGTGAAACCAGAAACAACAAAAGAATTTTTTATAACTGTTGTCGGACACTTTTAAATATTAAATCAAATTTAAAAAATAACGTCAAATGTATACATTTTCTGTTACAATTTAAGACACGTATGTTTTAATTCTTGAAATATTTCACAGAAGGACACTTGTCAAACTGGTACAGATGGCATCGACGAAAAAATTGGTAGTACAGATGTAGAAGAAAATTATGAAGAGGGATCATTCAGAATGAGGTTACAACGGTAATTATTAAACCATTCACATATCATTAAAACCCATTGTGTCAGGGTTCAATTTGTTTTCATATGAAAATGGTTGGTCTATAAATCGTAAGGATGTTTAGAAATGCTATAAATCCATTTAATTTTATCTTGAACATCGTTAACCCGCAAATAATTTTTTTTTTAAATCAGCATTAAAAAGTAGTTATCATTTTTAAATATGTTTGAAGCCCGGTTGTCACTATCAAAGTTAAAATGGTAAAAGTTGTCTTTGACGAGGTAAACTTGGTCCAAGTCATCTGTTGTCACTATCAAAGTTTTTGATCAAAAACTTGGTCTCTAAAAACTTTGACCAGGTAAACTTGGTCCAAGTCATCGGTTGTCACTATCAAAAGTTTTTCATCTTTGGTCAAAGAAAAGACTACACTGTGATTGGATAATTCCCTTAGAAAATAGGATTAGATTCTATTCCATACAAGTCCGTCCAAGTTTTTGATCAAAGTTTTCTTTGACGGTTGTCACTATAAAACAATCCATCACTGTGACCAAGAAAACTTGTACAAGAAAACTTTGATAGTGACAACGGGCCTTTAGAACATTTTCTCTATGCTTTCAACACTTTACAAAAATTAATAATGATCACGGATCCGATAATTATGTCATTTTTAGTACTTAATATCTTAAAAGAAATCGAATTTCAGCATGGCGATTCTAAAGATGGATAAGGAGTTATGTTTTAAAAAATTTACGATTATTACCCCCTTTGAATTGTTTAAACCACGGTGAACAATCCCAAAGTTAATGAAACCAAGTTGAATTTAAAAATAGAAATAATATATATCGAAAGAATTTTGCAACAACCTTTCCAATATGTCTATAAGTTGATGTCAAATTGTCAATGATAGCTTAAGACATTTCTGTTGAAGACATGATAAAATATGGCAAATTGTACATGTTTTAGCGAAATTTTACATCGAAGGTTTGAGTGTTTAATAGTCTTTTGCTGAATTTCCGGTGAGGAATATTTCTCGTGAATTTTCAGGACGAGCATTATAAATACGTTGTAAACCAATATAAAAAAGAGCATAATGAGTTTGAGGTCCTATTGTTTTGCAATAAAAAATCTTCCGAGCAATAATATTTGGTATTCTTTTTGTCAAATCCATTCGCATTATTCCATCTTAAATAGTAAGTTCCATAGCTCCCTCTTAGTTTATCATGTTTGAAAGAATGCTTTTTCTCGTTAAAAAAAAGTCCAAAGACTTTTGGAACTGGCCACAGGAAAAACTTTATGAATATGTATATGACGCGAAACATTTACAGTATAATTTATAGTTTGTAAAGTTAAGGGGCGTGGAAATTCTTGTCGCGTGCGCGACTCGAATATTTCCTCGCCCATGTCTTGTTAATCAGTTACAAATCCTAAATCAAACTGTTTAAATTAATATACTAGTAACTTGGAATTTCTATTGTATTTTGAAAGAGAAAATAGCAGAAGTTAGTACAGTTTGAAAATTCTAAGAATTTCTTTTAATAAATAATGTTTAAATGATTTGATGTACTAAGTTATTTTTAAAAGTTAAAAGTGTTAAAAATATTAAAACCATCAAATAATTGTCCAATTCAATTAGGAATACAACTTTTCCATGTAATGATTCCAGATTGTATGCAATTTGATATGTTACGCCATTTGTTAGATGACTTATTCCGTTTATTCGATTACTGACGATCGCAGTCGTTGGCAAATCAAACACAGTACTGCTATTCCTTAAGTGTTTTAGATAGTCTTTCATTCGGTTCTGCTAGTCTTAATTGTTGAACATGATATACACTTGGGGCATGATTTTATAAACACAAATTATAAGATTAAAGCTGACATGTATTTTATTGGTATCTTTCATGTTAGGACAATACAACGGAAGACATAGAAGAACAAACCAGTGATGGAAATGACAATGGAACAAAAGATCTGACTAACAGTGAAAATACAATGGTAATCATTACTTAATATACTTGAATTTAAAAAGATATATGTTGGATAGTTGTATCATCATACCACATCTCCTTATTTTTATATCCCGGTCTCTCGTCTTATTAGACATATTTACCATGTTTACGATGATATAAATCACACAATCCTTTTACGTACATTTTATATAATTACCAGTTTAGTCCATTTTTTTTATAAATAAAAATCTATCACTAAACATACGTTTGGAATAGCGTGGTTGCTTTTCCCTAACTTTCCTTCCTCAAAATTATAACCCAACAATCTCAGTGGTCTCGTGGTTGCGTGCTCGCCTCTGGCTCAATGTTGTGGGTTAAATTTCCGACATTTCCTGCTTTCCTGCTATGCACGCGGCATTTAGGAGTAAAGTTGGCTCGGATTCAGAATAATGTGTGCAGCAACTGTGACATGTATTCCTGCGGATAATCATTGTTATCTTGTGAAGAAGCAAGCCTTCAAGTAAAATACGGCTATACAACAAGGCATAGTCTATATTTATTTGTAAGTTGCATGATGTATTTGTCACTTGACGTTAACTACCAATCAATTATCAGTTATATATTATGATTCCTTCTGGAGTCGTGAAATTCGTTACGAAAGAAGTTTTAATCACGGAAAAAATATTTAGAGTGAGAAAACTTACTTTTACTGGAATGATAAACACAGATTGCGAACAGTTATCTTCACTTAGAATTAAGCACAGTCTACATATAGCATCTGAACTATAAGAGTTTATAATTAACAAACTGTCCTTATTTCAGGTGAAACGTAATTACGAATTAAGGAAGAAACCACCAAAGGTAAATGATTATATACTTAGCACACATAATATACGGGCGACCTACATTTGCGCGAATTTGAATTTTGACTGGTATTACGTTTGCGCGAATTTACCTGCAATTTACATGAGTTTTATCTGTGTTTAATACTGAAAATAACCTGAATTTTACAACAGCTTTTTTAATGATTAATCATATTGATAAATACATATTATTTTATTCGTTTATGTATTAGATACACCTATGAGGGCGTTAGCCCGATTGGGTGTATCTAATTTACACCAAGATATTATTATCAATGCAGAATGATAGTTTTCAATAATTTAGGAGGGGGGTCTTTCAGCGATTTGACCATATGTTATTGAAAAGCATGACAAATGTAGGATATCCAATTTCATTTAACGACATCTTGGTGTAAATTAACATGTAAAAGCAAAGTCTTGAATAAAACACAGTGTGTATGTTCTCGACAAGAACAATCTATAAGTCAGTCTTCGGAGCGATTTAGGATAACATGAATGTGAAATTTCTCCAGAATGAAATTAAAAAAAAATTGTTCAATGGTGAACTGAATGTTGACTTATGTCCTTGTCTGTGCGTATCGTTTCAAATGAGCAGTGGTATCGCTTCCGCTTATTTAAAAGTCAACTAAACTTTCGCTATAACCAGTACTATTTATTCTCTTTCTAATTGAAGTTCGTTAGTTTCATGATTGTGCTTGTTTGTTGGCCTAACAAAACTTTACATTCGCGATAAGATTTTATTCTACATTTGCATATTTTCTATGGTGCATCTCCTTGAAATTTCTTCATTTTCTACTCTATATCTTCACGAAAAGTATATTCATCGAATATTAAGTATTTTCCCCCCTTTGTTTGTCTCAGAGATGGTATTCCTATCTTCAATTCGATTTTCAAATTATCATCTCAGTTATTTTTTTAAAATTTTAATCTATTTTGTTTTATTTCAGAATTCATCATATTTGTCTTAAAGCTTTTCAATAATTTTTTTAAAGAAACTTTAATTAATCCAGGCAAAAGTAGTAGGAGTTTCCAACAGGTAAATTTCACGCAAACGTGGATATTTTTTCGCGCAAACGTAACGCGCCGTAATATACAAAACAATGATACGCCATAGAAAAATATGGTACGAGTTCATTTCAATTGAAGGCAGACACAATGCAACAAACTATAAAAAAAAACTATGTCGAAACTAATATTATCTAATATAGTTATGTATACAATAGACGGAATCTCATTTCCAATTTATGCTTCACAGAAAAGAAGGAAGAGTTTTTGGTATGAATACGACCAGAAGAAGATTGCCAAGAGATTGCCATGTTATGTAAGTGTCAATCATTGATATATCTCTAATTACTCACAGAACACTTACCAAAAAGTTGGTAATTGTTCAAAAAGTATATATTTTACCTGCTGGCAGAATTTCTATAAATTTTCAAAAAAGATAAATTTCAACATTACTCTTTGAAAATTAGAAAAGAAATTGACAGCGACAACTCTTCAACTACAGTACTGTTATTCCTTAATTTGACAAATATCGATATCATCACGGATGGCTGATACAGCACGATTGCCATTGATTGTATTACACATACAATTTACTTGTCTTAACTACTAAGTATAAAATAAACAGTTGTATTATCTGCTGCCAGCTGTGTATTTCTTGTAATGATAATTTATAGCTTGAAACAAGACTTGTTCGGTTTGTATTTTTGCATAGAAACTCTGTACGATTTTTTTCTGAGCACTCCAAAAGATCGCCTTCCTGTAACATTTATAAAAATGCTGTATAGATCTTTTATGAAGTACAACTATAGGTATTAGAGTGTAGGACGGCATAACTTCATCTCAGTGGATTAAACACTTCAGCTTGCTTTCGACAATTGCGAGTATTCTTTGATATAGTTTACATCAGCATTGATTTGTTAGTAGTTATGAATTTTTTTATTGTTATTAATTTTCATGAATTATAAGAGTAAACCGCAAAGAGCTTTATGTATGCACAAAAAAATGTAAAAACGTTAATACTTTGAATTGTTATATAATTAGTCTGTGGAAGACAATCTTAGAAATACAGATGAGGATGACGATCCACAAAATGATGAAGAGGACAGTATAAAAGGTAACATACTAGTATTCAAAAATATATTGTACAAAAATATTGTCTTCACATGAAAGTTCTATAAGTAAAATAAAAAAGACTTTACAGTAGGTTGCAAAACGATTGAAGTCCATCTACCAGAAACTAGGAATTTCTATCGTACGAACAAAGGGAGATGTGGGGTATATTTCAATGAAGAGACAAAGCTAAAAGTCAATCCGATTGTTGGTTAATTTTTGGGTAGGTACAGTATTTAAGTAAGTAAGAATTTCAATATAAGGAGTATCAATCAATGTATATTCACTGTAATAAGGCAAAGCAGGCATGTTGTTTTCTTGCAAAGTAAACAAGAATTCTGCTTACTGGTGTCACGGGAACAGGGAGGGGCTCTCAAACTATTTTTTTTTAAATACAGACGTGAAGCTTTGGTTTACCCTCGCTCCTTCAAATATTAAAAAACTTTATGAATTCCCACCCATATATCTATTTCACGGAATAAAATCATTACACTTTCAAATCTAGAATTATCTACTTTGAAGAGAATTTCGCATTTAAAAGCAAATCTTTAAAAGTGCATATATTTCTCAGTTGTCATATGTACAATCTGTGATATCTTAATTATACCCCACGCAACGAGTTGCGGAGGGTATAATGTTTTTGACCCGTCCGTCTGTCCGTCCGTCTGTCTGTCTGTCCGTCAGTCCGTCAGTCCTATTTCTTGTCATCGCAACTCCTCTCAAACCACAAAACAGAATTTCACGAAACCTTTTTAGATAATAAGGACATACTATGTAGTTATGCATATTGACAGGAAATTACGATTCATTTTTTTTTCTAGGAGTTACGCCCCTTTGAACTTATTTGCCCAATATACTACTGCAACCTTTTGTCATCGCAACTCCTCTCAAACCACACAACAGAATTTCATGAACCTTTACAGATAATAAGGACATACTACGTAGATGTGCATATCGACAGGAAATTACGATTCAATTTTTTTTCTAGGAGTTACGCCCCTTTGAACTTATTTGCACAATATACTACTGCAACCTTTTGTCATCGCAACTCCTCTCAAACCACACAACAGAATTTCATGAAACCTTTTCAGATAATAAAGACATACTACGTAGATGTGCATATCGACAGGAAATTACGATTCAATTTTTTTCCAGGAGTTATGCCCCTTTTAACTTATTTGCCCAATATACTACTGCAACCTTTTGTCATCGCAACTCCTCTCAAACCACACAACAGAATTTCATGAAACTGTGTAGATAATAAGGACATACTATGTAGATGTGCATATTTACAGGAAATTATGATTCAATTTTTTTTTCTGATACAATTTTTTTTTCTTACACTTATTTTATTTCTCCAATGACAATGTGGGGACGTGGGGTATGTGAGCGCGCTCACTAAGGTTCTTTCATTACATTTAAATGTGCCAATAAAAGTTTCTGCAGATAATAAAAGTAAACCACATGAATCTGTCACACGTATTGATTAGAACGAAGAGCATGCTCAATTTGCAGACTTTTAAATGAGGAAATACTCACGATCAACTAACATATCAGTTACTATCCATAGATATAAAACCTCGGTGAAATAAAAAAATGTCCGCCCATTGATATAATTGACATAAAAAGTGACCCAACCCAGTAGCACATTTGTTTATACATTCATATAAACAGTTGGCCACTGCAAACAACAATAAATCATTAAGACAGAGATGCTCCCTCCCCTCCCACGGCCGACTTCTGGCTGATGCATAGTTTTCTTAAATAAAACTTTTAATGTAAGGTTTGGAAAATATTTAAAACGTTGTCTTCAATGATCTAGTTTGATTCAGAGTTTATTTCTTCGTATACATTATGTAACGCGTTCAAAAGTGCTTACAAAATGCATTTGCGATTGAACGAAGTTTATTCCTTTAGGTCAATCATATTTTTGTACTTGTTATCCGGACTTTTATGTACTCAAATTGGAGAGAGCGAGCGAAATTTGTATTTAATTTCACGGGATGTCCCTTAATAGCTACTGTTTTAACTTTTGAATGTTTTTTAATATGCAAGAATTAATTGGAAAAAAAACCAAGCAACTCTTAAGGCGCCCTGACATATATATATGATACCCCAATTGCCTATATTACATTCTCCTTAATTAAGGAAATATATAGCTCGAATCAATGTATAGTTAGATTTTGTTTTGTTTCAGATTTGTCAGTGAGTTCTGAAATGAAAATCGACGTTAAACAGGTAAGTGAATTCAAACAGAACGGTTATCAACATATTTTAAAACAATTGGTGCAGTAATATGCGGTGCTTTGCTTTTGCGCCAATTGGCATTTCAGTTGTGCCAAAAAAAATCTTTCATTTGAGCCACAAACCATATTTCATTTGAGCCAAAATAAAACATTTCATTTGCGCCAATAATACAGGTAAATAACATAATATTAGATATGTTGAACAAAGAATTTTAATAAAAACCACAGTGACAGCTATATACACTGAAGCAAAGTTATAAGTCTGCTCGGACACAAAACTTGTAATACGGATTTATTCATGGAGAGAAATTTCGCCTCTTAGGCGCATACTATTTTTCTGCAAAATATAGTCCATTTGGATTTCTCCCATCGTGTAACTGCATCTCATTGTTATGAACGTTGTTGCTTGAATATTCTTTACTACGTCCACATAAATGAAAACGTTTTGACGTTTTGAATAAAACTGCTAGTTAAAATGTGCATGGAGCGATTCTGGTCCATTGTTGGTTCTATTGAAATCCTCAGTTGGTGCAGACACGTGACATGTGACATGTGAACACTATACAATTTTAAACCTAAGTCACACTTAGTTTTGTATTATATGAGTATAAATTCACTTTATTACCCAGGGGAAATGCTTTACAAAATTTCCTTTTCAGGATACAATGAATATTTAAATTTTTCCGTTATATATATGTTACCTGTAAAATGGCAAAAATGTAGTTTTAATTTTTGGCGCAAATGAAACATTGAATTTTGTAAAAAAAATGGCGCAAATGCAATGCGCCCGTAATATGTTATTATTTTTAGTAAGTAGAAAATGTTTGTAGTGCAAGTAACCTTATGAAAAGCAAATTAAGCCTTAATAACTTTACCAAAGTTTAACGACATTCTTTTCACTAAGTTCTTTTTTTCTTCTCTCAATTGAACTCCGCACCAGGTCTCATAACAATAGTGTATGTGTAAACTATTGTATGTCTTGTTTTGTACTATTGTGTCTGCACGTACTCAATTTTATATGCATGTCTTTAATTTATTATAATTACATAACATGTATGTTTCATTAGAATCCGTAATTTTGATTGGCTGATAACAATCGCGAGGCACTCCAATATCATATTTTATTTCCGTATAAAATACAACAGCTATGACTGCACGTGCTATCCGTGACAATGTTAAACTAATCCATCGGAAAACAAACGAAAAGCTTGATATAACTCTTAATTTCATGGGTGTAGCATAAAAATGTAATTATAAGAATTAAATGCTTCTTTTTGTATTAGATACACATATGAGGGCGTTAGCAACTTTTAAAAAAAAATTAATTTAAATATAGAACATGAATCAGATTTAATAGAATTTTTTTATTGGAGACTCAGCAACATGTCATAAGTGAACAAATCTTGTATTTAAAAAAATCACAAATAAAATGGGTTTATTTTTCACTTTTATTACTTTTTTAATTTTGTTTGTTTGTTTGTTTTTTTTTAATTTCATATTTAGAACAACAAATTTTGCAAGTATTTTACCATACAGAAGTGTATTTTTGTCTATTATTTTCAAATTTCATATTTACTTCAACATAATTTTGGAAATATTTAACTGTTGTTTCTAATTTTAAAGGAGTAATTTTAACGCTTTAAAATACTGACTGTATTTTACCTGTAATTAATTATTAATTGTTATAACAACACCCATTGTATTTTGTATGTAGGCATAGGATGAATATATATTTTTCAAATGTTGGCATAGGTTGATGACACCAAGCGTTCATCGTGCGCACATTTTTAATATGAAGCGCTTCCTACAAAATGTGCTTCGGTCAACGCTTTTACACCCCAATGAAATTATGAAAAGAAGCATTCAATTCTTAAATGTATGTCGTTTCAAAATCTCGCTCAGAGCTTATGTTGTATTGTTATTTAACTTGCCGACTTAAAATAAAACTTATTTGATTTCATAATATGTAAGTAAGATGCACATATATATTATTAGTTACACCTAGGACATAATATATTGGTTAGTATAATAGTCCAAGGCTGACCTAATACGATATATACTGGGTCAGTAAATTCAATATGGGGCGAGAGCGAGCGAATATATATCGTATTTAAAATTCACTAGCATACTTTGTAACGAATTTATCTTACCGACTATCTTAATGTGGTGAATTCAGAGGAAGTTGTAAAAGAATTATAGATATTTTTCATTTTTTGTTATAGTGATCATTATGAATCACTAAAGCAATATTTGGTGTAAGGTGGAATATAACAGGACCAAGTCTTCAATATTAAGAACCTACTTGCATTGACGTGTACAAAAACAAATGCCAACAATAACAATGTAATATCAAAGAACTTCTACATTATAGTAAATGTACACGGTTTCCACGTGTTCGCTTTTAACCAATGATATTCCTAGTAGTGTAGGTAAGATAAATATATTTGTGCATAAAATATGTTAATTGACCGACCGTGCGAGGCCCTCGTGGGTAGTCAAGGTCGTTAAACACCCTGGTAGATATTAAGGGAGAAAGGAAGAGTAGGGTTTACTTTAAAATATCTCTGGAAAATTATTTTGTAATATTGTAATAGTATTATGAATTTATGAACATCTCAAAATGTTTATAAATATGTATACACCCTTCATGAAATATTATATTTGTGCAATTTCCACCATACAATTCGGGTCCGGCTCAATTTAAGTTGGTCCAAAGGACATATATGAGACATACGGCGTTGTTGCTTATTTCGTTGCCTGAAAGATTACGCAGTTATATGAAAGCATACAAAAACAAGTATTAACACAATTTCCTAATTATCTTTTCTACAGCTAAATAAAGACAGTCCAGATAAGCAGGAAGTTGGAGACAGTGAAGATGAAGATGAAGATATAGATGAAGGTAATCTTTGTCTTGTGCTCCATTTTCTTGATTCACATAAAGATTTAAGTAAAGATCATTCCCTAAATATATATATCTATAAGATTATAAAATGCAAGAGAACTCAGGATTATTTCCAATAAGAATAGAACGAAAATTTATTTTATGTGGATAAAACTCATTGTAGTTTGTCAAAATTTTGCAATCATGTTCTATTACTATATGGTATGGAATTATTTCTAGATATTAAGTCCTAGATATATGTCAAGATTTCTCAATTGTTTTTGTAATTTTTTGTTAATTTCAATCCCTTTAATGGCATATTATGTACAAAGAAAACAAGTACACTTGTCATTATATTCATTCAAAGCAGGTCCAAAATTACAATTCTTTTTTTTTATCTTCAGATTTCTCAATGGAATTTGCAGATTTTGAAGTAAGTAAATGCAAACATTAGTATAAGTTATATTAAAGTTATCATACTATTGCTAAGGGTTGAGCTTTGAAAATGTGAACAACAGTTAAGCCGATCGATATAAAAATAGTCTCCTTACATTATTATACCCCTACTGTCTATTGTTACCGAGCTTTCTTAAACGGGTGATATAGTGTGATGGAGGGGTCTGTCCGAATGTCCGTCTGTTTTTTCTGTCCCACTTTTGTATGCGCAACTGCTCCTGGACCGATTGACAGATTTATGTAAGATTTACACCGAGTCTTACTCAAATTATGTACTTTTGCACTTCCTATATTTTTAATTTATTCATCTGAGTGAGTATTGGGGATTACTTTATGACGCATTGACATGGACTTTGTCATATCTGCACACTATAGTACATATTTGTATCGACTTCTCTTCCTTGAATCCCTAATCATGATTTAATAACACTTTCTCAAAATCTGAACCATATAAATGCCATTGTGCACATCCAATTTTGTATTTTGGTCCGAATTATTTTTGTGGTTTCCCTAAGCAAATTGGTACATCTTTAAGGACGGCTCTATTATCAAAATGCAGGGAAAAAATCCAGTACAATTCTATGCCAATCGCCGTTAGAACTTATTACAAGGTTTGAGAGTGACAGTTCCTGAGACCATGGCAAAGATCCCGGTAAATGATAGAAACCTTTTTAGGTCTACTTTAAAATCTTTAACATATTAAAGTTTCAATTTATACATGTTTTACTTTTTTTTCAGAAAATGCGGATGCTGACTTATGTCAATGAAATCATGCACTGTGAGAACAGTAATTGGTGAGTCAACATTTAATTAAATGCATGACATTTAAGTACTAACAGTACATTATGGTTGGTGATATCAGATATACAAGCTATGCTTTCCGGTTTATATCCACTGACAATGCACGTCTGATGTTTAATTTTAAAAAAAGTTTGTTGAAAACTTTGATATCCTTCTAATGTCACGGTGCATAAAGCCACTAAAGCTTGCAGACAGCATAGGTATCACTGACATATATTCCTGAGTGCGTTAGCCTCGTGATGGTATGTATAAGATGTAAGCTTCTCATATCTGAGGGGGGTTAGCCCCTCAGATATGAGACGACTACATCTGATTTACATAGAAGTAATAAATAACAATTTTATCTTTTCTATTGTTCTAAAAAGAGCAATTCGTTTTGATAAACCAGGAAAAGTGTCAATATCTCAAATTTTCCAGATGCAGTAACACTTTCAGAAGATGTTTTGTAGTTATGGATTTGGAATGAAATCTTAATTGCTTCTATTTTTCTGTCATCAAATTAATACCTTATCACTGCTTTTGTATGGCAATATGAATCGCTTTTCTATCTTTTCTTTTTTTGGTTTAATTGTCAAAATCTGCACTTTTTGCTGATAAATGATAACACTTCTATGTAAAAATAATTTACACTATGACGTTATGGTATATGCTTAATGATAGCTTTCAATAATTTAGATTTTAGAATTTACCTACAAAAACCAATTTTGTATAATACATTGTTTCAAGGAGAAACAATTTTATGATGAAAAAATATAAACCTCGATAATTTCAAAAGAAAAAATCAATCAATATAATATTAATATTGCAGTTGATATGATTCAAAAATTTTCAGTAATTGCTTTGTAGTGATGAGGCTGATCATGAGCGCCACCATCAGTTTATTGGCAGCCCTGAAATGATAGTCAATAGAGAGAGGAGAAGATTAGCCTTTGGCTGCGGAGTAATTTCTCAAAAGGTATGCATCCTGGTTTAAACCAACCAGCGTTGGCTTTTCAACTTGTTAAAACCTATGAGTGTTGAAAAATGCTGCATGCAATGACCAAATGACCAATGATCAAAGAACAAAAAAAGACCATGATGAAAATAAGAAAGGTCTTAGCTGTAAATGTTTATAGGTAAAAGGACAACCACCGCATACTGTTTACACATGCAAGGGTGACATGAGTAACTTTCTGTTTGACTGTTTTATACACAATGATAGAAACGCGAACATTCATTGAATGCATTATCCAGTCTTCAGACAGTGCAAAAACATTTCACTTTTTTTCAGTTTTCCTTTTCGACCCTTTATAATTGCCCACAGAAACTACCCAATTGATGAACTGTTAAATATGTTATCCTCTTAAATGTGGCTAAAATATTTGTCACTCGACGTAAGAAAGCAACTGCAAGTTACTTCTTGCACATAACAGGGAGATGAAAATCTGTATGATTTATTTGGCATCCATCAGATCTTAAGGTAAACCGGGTTTTCGCTGTAAAAAGTGTAATATGAAAAACACATTCAAAATTTATGGCGTTTATTTTCTTCATAATACTTCATTACTCGGGAAAGTTAAAGACCAACACTTGGAGCTGTACAAAATTGACCTAAATTCATCTAAGGGCAGCACTTCAAAATTAATGCTTCAACTTAGTTTTAAACCAAATGACCAAATTGTTAAACTTCTAAATTATAAAAAAAAAATGAATATATAATAAAAAAAATTGGCGTTATTAGTGAATGTTACTCACTTTTACTGGTGATTCACCAGGTTCAGATAAAATATTTCGGTACTGTACCTAGTCTTTTAAAGGGGCATTAGCTACGATTTAGAAAAAAAATTAAAATACGATTCTTTTTGTTTCAAGTATTAATAAAAGCGGAATTTTGAAATAATATTTCATTATAAGCAGTCAGTTGGCCCGAATTTGTCAAAATAAGCTCAAAACATCGCTGATGTATTATTGATAATTCAATAATTCAACCTCATGTGAATCCGTATTCATGTGACCTTCAACTTTACCCCTTTGCTGGAGATGGGTTCCGCATGTACTAGGCGTGTTCAGCTATTAAAAAGAAAAGAATGTCAACATTGAACGTGAAACAAGGGTGAACCATTTCGTTGACTGATTCTAGCCACACAAAATTATGATTAACATATTTTTTAACCTCTAACATGAAATCAAACAGACCTAGAAAAAATCAAATTGCACGTGCTCGCTATCTATTTATATTTATGTTTATATCGGGTAATATAACCGTCGGCAGTCTTCGGAGGTCATCTCGATGGTTAATTAGATGGAGTCTAGACTAAAATCGTACGAAATCCTGATGAATATTATCGAGTCCACGCATTGTTAATTGTTAATTTTAGACTTTTTGTAATTTGGATATACGTTTTAGTATGTTATAAATCAAATATGAGAATTTGAGTCAAATCGGTGAACATGAATTTGACAGCTCCTTTAAAGCCTGGGTTATACATTGATCGTGTTCACCAGAACAATCTACAATATATATATATTTTTTTTTAAAGATTATTAGTGCTCTGCTCAAATATCTGACAGACAATTTGGTGTACAATCATCACGAGCCCTTCAGATTCGGCGGCAGAAGGATAAGGAAGCTGACACATATTGAACTTCAAAATATTTTCCTGGAATATAAGTTGTAAGTTTAACTAGTGCATGGCTGAAACGTCGAGTTATACCAGAAAATTATATTATTATGTCAATTAAAGGCCATGTTTTTATAGATAGTTAGGTTCTTACGAATATTTTTAAGCATTATATAATAAAGAGGTACTCATATATAAATTGTCTCGTTCGTCTTGATCTTTAGCTAAAGTTATCGCTTTTCGTTGATCGTTAGACAATTTACACTGACAATTTGAACCAAACTAATGGCGGGAATAATGAATAAAAGGTCGTTCTGAAGTTTTCCTCTGTTAGTTATTATGACATAAAACACATAACCATCAGAGGCAATTTTTAATTCTAATGGGTTAATGTGGGAGCTAATACAGCAACATTCGCATTGGTGGCACATAGTTCCATTTGAAGCCATTTGAAATCACTCTATTTCTTGTATGAAATAATTTGGCCAATTTTTGGTCATTATTTTTCATCAAAATAGTTCAATTTTTATGGAAAGGAACAATTAAACAACCACAGGGTATATATATACGAAAACGTTGGACAAAGCGCCGCGAATGCAGCCTTAGATGGGCGGATATACTGACGGCATGGTATATATATATATACCCAGTCTGCTAAGTAAAGTATGTTAAGTTTTGCAATACAAATGCTGTTTTCTGTTATTATTTATAAATGGTAAGTCGCAGAAGGTTATAGTTTTTTTTTCACATTTGCAAAAATGTATAAAAACGTCAATGTCTTAAACTGACTTTACAAACAAAAAGATAGGAATTACAGTGTATAACCATTACATACTAAAGTTTAAATTCTTGTTATTTCACTTTCAGTTTTGCTGACCACTATGTGACCTTTGTTTTACATAAGGAGGCAATCATATACTTCCACCAGAGGAAGACAGGGTGTCCATATGAGTTAGCAAACCAAAAATGTATGGATGCAGAAGTGGATATGTATATTGAATGGAAAAAGAAGCATAGAAAATAACTATGAGCATTCAAATTGAATATATTACATTTTATTTTTGTTTGTTTGTATATAGTAATTATGATGGTCTTATATAACATCAATATTCAACGTTTTATGATGATATTTTTATTTTCTTATTGTTTTAAAAGCTGTAGCTTATTAGTAAAAAAAGAAATTGTAAAACAAGATAACAGCAATATTAATGAAAAGAAAAAACAAGACAACAAATGCAGAGAATTTATATGAAGTAGTGGATATAGAAAGGAAAATCAACAAGAACCTTTAATCGCAAGTTGATTATCGTTTCTGAATTGACTAAAACACGGTTTTAAATTTGGAACATAAATCAATAGAAGTATCTAAAAAGAATTTCAATTTTATTTTTTTATTCTTGAATGTGTGGGAATTAATACGGTTCACATCTATATTTAGGCATATGAAAATTAAAGAAAGTTTAATATTGTAGTTTAATATTTTTTATTATTGCTACTATTGTAGGGTACATGTATCTACGGTCAAAGCTGCTAGATATATACTATTACTAGAGACTCTGTTATATTACCAAGAAAACGCAATTATTGGCTATAATAAAAACAAAAATATTATTTTAAAACAGAAGAATTAATTATGCTTTAGTTAATGGGTGTATATAAGAATATGTATTTTTTCGATATCTTACCAACGCGGTGACGATAGGCAACATAAGTGTATGTTCAGATAGAACGATACATGTTGAATAAACGGGAGATCGAATCTTACACCGGAATATAAGTATTAGATTGTTGCTTACCCCCATACATATTATTTTAATCACAGGAAATAAAATATGTATTTTGTGTCACTTTTAGAGGTAAAAAAAATAAGGTCACGACAGTAGCTGTCATTTTAGACTTTATTGTAAAACAGCAACACCCCATAGTAACGTACTGTATTTGCTGAGGTAAAATGGTTTTGACCCGGTCGTCCGTCACTACGTTGATGTCGCCTTGATAGCACCTTTATTTTTTGTCGCATCCTCTTCAAATCTGGATGAAGGTTTCCAATCATCATAACCATAGATGAGTTAGACACTCAGAAACATTTGAAATGGGCACTATTTTGAGCGGAAAAGGCTTTCAAAGTCAACCAATACTATGTTTTATCGCCACACTACCTCCTCTATTTTTGTAGGATTCTCTTTAAATTTGATTGAAGGTTTCTGGATGATTTTGATAAGAAAAATCCGAAAAGAGAGACAATTTCTCCGATATATCATGCAATATATCATGTGTTTATGTGTGAACAGCGTTGAGAATTTTATCCGTTTTCTCTTTTTTTTTCTTTTTCTTTTTTAGAAAATTTAACATGCAATAATATTTTATTTTGGTATTGCGATACGATTAATAGTACTACTTTATTTCATATGGTTAAATTGTGATTATTATCACAAGTTTGGTTTTCGAAAGGTCCATTTCCAACAGTTAACAGAGAATGTGTGTAAAATGAAATAATTAACACAAAGAACGACAACATTAAAGTAAAAAAAAACCAGCCATAATATATATACTGTATATAAATGAACAATGTTAATTGATTGAGTTAATGTATTGCCAAGTTAATGATTACTTTTATCATATGTTTTGTTTTGTTTTAGTATATTGCAGTATTCATGTATACTCAAACTTGTCAAGAGTATTAAGCACATGACAATGTCATGTGGGTATCCAATTTGATATTTTGATATTGTAATTTGTTGGTTTTTATTAGCCTAAATGAAATGTACTAGAATTTTCTTGAGTATGTGTATTGACAAGTTTATGATTATTTTATCATATGTTTTGTGTTCTTTAGGAATATTTTAGTATTCATATATGCACACATGTTTAACTTAAACTTGGCAAGAGTATTCAGCACATGACACTGTCATGTGGGCATCAAATTTGATATTGTAGTTTGGTTTTTATTAGCCTAAATGAAATATACTAGACTTTTTTTATGAGAATATGTTGTCTATGGGCGTTGTAATTGTAGTGTAGTACAAGTGACATAAACTTCAACGTGTTGAAGGCGGTCACTACAAAGTAGAAGTAGAAGAAATATACTGAACATATTGACACATTGTGTTTGTTGCATACATATTCTATTTTACATATTTTATGAATTATGATGTTTTGATGTCAATCCTGCATTTGGATTTTATATTTAGTTTAATTGCTATGCAATGTTTTTTTTGTAAATTTTGTTGGTCTTTTCGTCGTTTTTTGTTTTTGTCGATGTCTCTTTAACTAACAAATTTTGATTGTCCCTTTGGTATCTTTCGTCTCTTTTTTTAACCGATACAGTATTTGATCTTATTTATATTGACACGAAATGCCAATAAAAGCGCAGTAAAAGTATAAATTTTATTAACACGGTTATGTTAGCAGTCATGGTCGAGTGGTCTCATTCCCGGACTTTAGACTATGATATTTCTTTAAGGAAATGCGCTTTGGAGAAGGTATATATGATAAAGCTTTGGATTCGAAAATCAAAAAAAGTATTATAAATCTATCATATAACATCATTCAGATGTTCATAAGACAGAATTACTCCGTGAGACATCAGTATTTATATTTTGAATGTTGTCTTACATATTTGCATTAGGGCTTCAAACTTCTTACAATTGTCTCAAAATTACAAAACTGCCAAAGTGGCATCACAGTTTTGAGAATTGTCATTAATATTAAGAAAGGAGTAAAGGCTTTATCCAAAAAGATATTTTGCTAAAAGATGTATTTAATAAAGGTGTTAATGTGTAAAAAAATCTCTAATCCTTATCTATTTTGTCCAAAAACTATGTTTAAAGTGGCTACCTTATATCAACATTGTCGATTTTGTCAACTTTATGACATCACAAGCAATCGTTTTGCACTAATGTGTCAGGACTATATAATTACTTGTTCATTTATCAATGAAATCAGCAAAATTATTTATTTTCGGAGAATAAGGGGGCCAAACAATCACCTGCTCTTATCACAACTGTCCTGTTAATTTAATTTATTTTTCAAAATCGCCATACATGTGCTATTCGATTCTGAGAGGTACAAACGTAAGTTATATATATACAGTAAAATTGGTAACGTTAATGTTATAATAAGTTTTATGTTCTCAACTTAGGCTAACTTCACTCGACAGGGGATTCTCGAAAAATTAATGACTCTAAAGTTAGAACAATAAGCATCTGTAAAAGAAAATCTGGAATCAAAATTTTGCAAGCGTTACCAATAATTCAACATAAATTTAATTACATTGTATATTATGATATAAGAAATCTCCAAAGTTAAGTACATGAGCAACTAAAAATAACTTAATACTAAATAATATTTTAAGTGATTTCGCTCACACTTTGAAATCGAATTGGTATTTAAAAAAAACCACGGTAGACTTTTAAGGGTGGTAGGATAGAGAGCCAACAGAAACATTTACATAAAAAAGATTTTGCATATCTGTTGTTCTCATTTTATTGTTTTGTTGCTGGGCAAAAATAAGAGTAAACAAACAGGTCCATATGTTGCCCTCTAGATGTCTTTTGGTTATTTTTAATCGTCGGGTTGCTGTTGCATTAACTCGCATTCCCCACATCTAGATAATGATATCCAAAGTTATATTTGGCAGTTAACAGAATCCATGGTTGACATCTAAACAATAAGCGGATATTATTTGTATAAAAAAAGATGTGTTCACTTAATTTATCCATACTTGCTCTTATTGCATTTGTAGTTTGCATGGTGTAGAAGTGTCACTGTATAAAACATGTATTTCTTTATTTCAATAGATACTTGACAGATAATAAAGGCATATTTATAAATGTGCTAAAAACATGGTTTTCAAATACTTTTATTTTCTATATATTGATACCAATAATAGACACGTGAGGAAAATGATGATGGGTGACTTTATAACGTTCAGCGTTAAATTAAATTAAAAAATAAGGACATCTGGTATGATTGCTAATGAGAAAACTATCCACCAGGGACCAAATGACGTTGATGGAATCAACTATAGTTCACCGCACGCCCTTCAACAATGATCAAATCCCATACCGAATAACAAGCTATAAGAGACATGGCACAATGTAAAACAATGCAAACAAGAAAAACAACGGTCTGATTTATAATAAAACAATAAACAAAAAAAACATGACAGACAGCAACAAACGACAATGAACCACTGGATTGTTACTCCTACGTCGTTCGGGTCAAGTAGGGTTACCCGAGCCGTGCAGATTAAATGACATATACCGACTTGCTTGGTCAATAACTATTATAACGTAATCGACAAAAATATAGGAAATATATGTAGGAAAATATATATATAAAAAGGATGGCGTATAATAAATATCAAATTGTAAAAATAATTGAATAAAGCGAATCTTATTGAAAACAATGAAATTTGGTTTTGAAAAAAAAAAGAAATCAATCAGAAACTATTTCCTGGAAAGATGTGTAAGAGGACTTAACAGCAAGAATTTTTGGTTAACATTCAAGCCATTCTCGACTAATAAAGGGTCACATTTTTCACACTTTTCTGTCAGTGTTTCGAAAATGATACATATGACAATCACCTTTATAAAAAATAGTAGAAGACTGGAAAAAAGGCTTCATATCAACATATTAAATATGTAGTGGCAATATTAATAGATTTGTCCAAGGCTTTCGATTGCCTACCCAATAACCTTCTCTTGCTAAAAATAATTTGTTTGTCTCCCCCTCATCTCTTAATCTTTAGTAAAGTTATTTAAAAAAAGAGAGGCGAAAGTTACCAAAGGGACATTCGAACTCATAAGTCGAAAATAGACTGACAACGCCATGATAAAAAAAGAAGACAAAGACCAAAATACAAACAGTATACAAAACACAGCTTTATTTTTTAACTATATAATAGAAAAAAAGTGTGTTGAAGTATGTTCTCATTCCCGTTATTGTGAATCAATGTTTAAAGGGTTGCCACAAGGATCTATAAATGGACATTTTATTCGGAATCCGAGCCGACCAGTATTTACTCCTTCTCCTAAATGTCGCGAACCAGTAGGCGGATCAGCGGTAATAAAAATTTTAAAGTATTTGTTTGGACCCGACTGGGGATCGAACCCATGACCTCCCGCACTCGATGAGATAAAAATGGTCTGCCTTGAAAAGGCCAATATTAAAGACACATACGGATATAATAAAATGTTGGAACATTTCTAAGGAATAGTTTGATATACGTTCTTCTTCTAAACTTCAAAGTTGTTGACACAGGTTGGTGTTTGATCAAAGCATTATTAAGTACGATACTCTTCATACTAAAAGTGTTCGTACGATCAACGCTTTTCAAAGTTAAAATTAAAATTTATGCCTCATTGGAGGACAGTGTTAAGAGAAGTACGAGGAAATTGGAGGATTAATATACGATACAGCAAAGAAAAAGTTGATAACCATTCTTTACATCTTTCTTCCATTGTCTAA